AACACGTCTCAACTGTGATCCATTCAATGCGACGCAGCGCACTAGTATAAACCAATTGCCAAGACAAGCTATATCCAGTTTATACTACAACCTAAACCGATAGTCATGTCCATAACTATCTAGTTGTGAATACCATTTATATCTTATAAGGGACCGACAATGTAATCTTCTGTGTGACTACTAACACACTACATTGTCTACAATATAAGATAATTGGACATTTAGCATACAAGCAATCATAAAGAATGCAACAATGTGAAAACATTTATTTCAGTCAAATGGGAAATCGAATAAATACAATCCAAAAGCTCACATAAAAGTTTGCTTTACTGTATACCCCAACAGTGGGGCTCTCGCGGCGCGAAGTATGGTGTTTCGCCGCGGCGCGACGCATGCCGCGGCGCGGGGCCAGAAAAGGTTCTTCTGTCGTTTACGGGGCGCACTCGCGGCGCGAAGCCGGGGTCTGCTACGGCGCGGGCCTCGCTGCGGCGCAGTGTACGGAAACTCGGTGGACTCGGGCTAATTCGTGTTGTGGGATGGGACGTAGCTGCTCGGATTCTTCGTTCTCTAAATACGTGCCGAATAACCTGAACCTGCACACCACCGAAGACAAGAAGAACAAACGAAAAACAAGCAAAATAATAGAAAATATCGAAAAACGAGAAATAAACGGCACACAAGCGAAATGAACGACTGGTGGACCAAAATAACTAAAAAGATACTAAAAACGGGGGTAAAAACTAACAAATAAACAAAGACAAAGATAACAAAAATGGGACAAACAACTCCTCCACACTAAGACCTTTGTTCGTCCCGAACAAAAAGAAAACAAAAGAAAACAAGCAAACGAGCAAGTACAACGGTTCAATCAAGACAAATCTCAAACCAATCAATCAAGTCAAGAAGAATTTAAATGATCACGAGTACACACCTCAACTATTAACTCGGTTATTTGGAATGACAAAGACTCTCGAACACGGAGATATATCATATGCCTCACTCAGTTTCTTACGCAAGTATAAAATGGGTGCACTCTAGTTGGTCATCAACTAATTCAATCATAAGTTTGCCTATTGTCTATCTTTTACTCTGAAACACTCAAATATGTAAAACAATGAATCAAGAGGACTTCGAGGGATGTAATGTAGGCTCTTTGGATCGGGTAGGAAAAATATAGGCTAGGTGGCTCAATAATAAGAAACTCAACTCACTTCAATCACCTTCCCGTTATCATGAACTCTTCCGGCTGTCACAATCAACCGGCTCTTCTCTACTACTCCAAATTCAACACATCACCCCAACAATTATTCAATACTTTTTTTTTT